CTGCAGGTGGGATGCACTGTATAAAAAAAGAATAAATAAAAAGAAAAAAGAATAAAAAATAAAAGTAAGCTTTTAAAACAGTACATAGTAAATATCATTTAAAGATGTTTTCTATGTTATCCGTGAACATTAGAGCCCCACCTCTCTGGGAGCGGGGCTTAGTACAGTTGATAATTGTTTTGTTTGCTGCTTTTCTGAACATCTTCTATAAAGTTTGCTCTCTATGCTTTGTGTAGTACTGTCTTCTGTTTTGTTAGCTTAGTGCCCAGGTATTGCTTCAGCCTTTGTGGGGTCACCACATGTATGCAAATGTGTCAGTGTACACACTCAGTATCTATTGGGGCAGCTAACCTTGTCCTTCACTGCCAGTTTGAGGAGAGTCTCAAAGTCAGCTTGAACCAGGGGTTTAAGGGCCTCTGTAGGTCTTTCCTGATCTTGAACACAGCCCTGGGTTCACACAGCACCATAGCCTGTCATGCATGTAGCCTGCTGTATGTTGGCCAGGCAGTTGTCCATCAACCGAATCACATGAAGCTTCTTGATTGCCTCCTAGTTTTTCAATAAATGCCTTTGGAGGAAAGCTTTTATACTGATCTTATTTTAGCAGAATTACTTTGGAATTCCACTTGGCATTACTTACTAAGATTTATTATGTGGTTAGCCTAGAAACTGGACATTCTTGTAATGCATAGTAAAAAAAAAAGGCAGCATGTTGAAGTATTGTTCAAAGAGCAAATGCTGGCAATAACAAAAACACCCAACAGAAGAATGAACTATTTTTGATGTACAAAGGAATACTTTATTACTCCAATAAAGATGCACACATCTTCCTGGCATGATTTTAAGTTGAAGAACACTAGAGGGGAAAACATTAATACTATTCTATGTTTTTTAAGGACTAAAATGTTCAAAACTATCAAAATAAATAAGTAGGTAATTTCTGAAAGGGCAGTAGATTGCTATGCTTAGTTCACAAAGCTAGGAATGAGGTGGTTGTGAGCGCACATTTGCTTGGCCAGCACAGTCTCGAATCTGACGAATGTATGGATCGTGGATAGCTTGTTATTCTCCTGCCTTTTGAATTTGAAAGTACTTCTTTTGCCTTTCAAAAAAGGACTTCTTTATTTTTAATTTTTGTGTATTAATGTTTTACCTGTGTGTTTGCATGTGCATCATATGCATGTCTGATGTCTTCCAGGGTACAAAGAGGACCTCAGATCTCCTGTGACTAAAGTAACAGGTGCTTAAGATGCTACTTAAGATGGAGCTGGGAACCGAATCCAGACCTTCTTAAAGAGCAGTTGTTGGTCTTAATGATTGAGCCATTTCTCTAGCCCTATCTTGTCTTTTCACACACATCAAATAATTCTAGCCATAAAATGAGGATACAACAGGCCATCTACTTGTGCTATAGCACAGCTCCGATGTGACAGTTGGAAGAAAATAAAGGGTCGTGAAGTTTATAAACTTTATTAGCTGAATACAGGATCTTAAAGGGTTGGTTGAACTCTTTAAGGCAGTATCCTACCAGGGGAATTTACTTCAAGGGTACTCAGTGAGCATGGGGGTACATGCCAAGCAAACCAACTTTACCAGTTACTCAAAGAAGGGTTGTCATAGCAACATCACATTGCAAAATATGCACTCAAACATCAGAGACATCATCTGCCACGCAACCAGATAGTTTGACTTTTTGTTGTCATTTCTGAATAAATTGTGCAGGCAGCTCAAAGTGTCGTCAAAGTAGATTGCTACAGGAATTCTTAAGAGATTCTTACTGTGTATTTATTTAATGAGCTGAACAAGTATTACCATTTAGAGATATTTCTATATTCCATGTGTACTTTTTATAATGCTCTACAGAATTTCATTTTGAGATAATTACTCTTCTGGTACACCAAAAATTCCAACATTTTCAGAGTGTCTGTCCCTTGGTACCAGAAACCTATGTGAGGAATTATGCATATATGTTGTTAAAAACCCAGAAAGCTTGAAATGTCTCATAATTTCCATTCTACTCTGATGATTATTTCCATTCTGTACTAAAAATATACCAATTTACAGCGATAGTTTGCTACACGTGTTCTATTTAAATGTCACTTTGAAGCCTTTCCCCTCTGCTGGATTCATTCTTGTAATTCTTCTGCTTTATTAGTTTCTCCAGTGCAATCCAGGCAAAAAGGGAGGAAGACAGGACAGGCAAGGTCAGATGCAGCTCCTGGGTGGACCCAGGTTATCTTACTTGGTTGTTTCTCTTCTATAGTGTGTTCGAATCAGTTTTCCATCCTTTGTGATCCCCATGATCTCCCTCCAGCTCATCTCTTAGTTCCTAACATATCCAGCCCCACTATTCTTCAAGAAAGCTCTTAATTCTTTTATATATTTTCCAAGATAAAGTAGCACTCTCTAAAAAAATGTAATATTATGCTATACCAGTGGTATTTTATTAAAGTTTAGACTTTCTAGGAAAATGGACAAAATGTGTGAGAACTGAACATCGACAGAAAATTACAAAAAGCGGGGTTTTTAATTGTTTTTTTTCTTTTGGTATTTATTATTAAGGGTCCTAAATTTCCTGACCCCATTTCCTTCTTGGGTCAGAATGTAGTGGACCCAGAAGTCATGGGCAGCCATGCCCTGAGCCAGCAGGTCCTCCAGGCTGGAAAATGGTGTGGAGACAAGTGAAATGGAACGACCATCTGGTTGACCAGGGGTTCAAAAGGGTGGCTCTAGCTTAGTTTTTGGACTTCTCACTGTGGTTGCAAATCATTTTTGGTTTCTATGTTTCCAATGTAATTTCCCTGTCCCCAAATCAGTAACTGCCAGGGGTTCATTTGTGGTGTCAACATGGAATCAGTTCCTACTATGGTTACTGTCTATCTTAGATTGTCTTTCTTGAGCCTCAGAAGAGTTAACTCGAAAATCTGAAACGTTCGCCAAAGCCAGGTGAACTTAGGTTTGTGATAATTGCTTATTGTGTATGCTGACAGTCATACTTGAGACTGAACTCTGCTTTTCTTGTTTACAAACCTCTCAGGATCAGTGTCTGAGGAGTAGACAACGTTCGACCTCTTCAGCCCTGCTTGGCGATCAGTCAGTAAAGACGCCCAGAGAAGCCACACAATGCTGCACAGGGTACTGGGATAGCAGAGCCCTTTTGTCTACCAACCAAGCCTGCTGACTGTTTAGCAAAGCGGAGAAAAAGCATCTGCAGGAATTCTTGCTCTTAACATAAATAGTCCGCGTTAGTACAGCTGGTGGCCAGCATGTCCGCAGGACACTGTCCACAGCTTATTTGTAACTGATCATCTGAAATGACTACCTGCTTAAAATGGAATTAAGTTTCTGTTTCATTCTCCTCATTCATAAGTTCGTAAATTCCGCAGAGCCCAAGTAAGAACAGTCATGATTTTCTTGACCGTCTGCATTCCAGTTAAGAAGGCTTCTAGATTATCAATGAAATTGTCTGAAACTAAAAGCAATTAGGAACTGTGAATGCTAACACAGAAGTTTCTTTTGACATCAAGAGTGGGCATGGCAACAAAGCAACCGTAAACACTGGAATATGTAGCCATGGTATTATTGCTTGCCATGTGAGTCCTTTTGAAAACAAGATTCTCAAATATTCTTTAGAGTTGTCCACTTATCATAATTTATGATGTCATCAAATAAGAGTAATTATCCCGAAGGAACTACAAGGGACAGCCAAGCCTGCCCAGAAAGCGGAATCCCTCTGACCTTTTAATTTATCATTTGCAAAGATAAGGCCTGAAAATTAAGCATTGCTTTCACTAATGGCCCATTAGTCTCCGATGAGCAGTTAGTGTCCCCAGGCTCAGTCTTGTCAAACACACAGAGGCATTTCTTTAAAAACAACAAAACCCTAGAACCTACCACATCCAGAGCTTATTTCTATAAATTCTGATTTCTGGGAAAGATGACACCACAGTTTCCAGGACCACCCTACATTTTCCAATCACCAGATTCAGGTATAATTTGAATAAAAATTTCATTTAACCCTAAGAATAGCCATTCTATTTGGACTTTATCTTAGATTCACAAAACTCCCAGTGCATATATTGCTGGTTGGGGTAATTTCCCTCAAGCCTCACAACTGCTAAAAATACCAGACCAATCACCGTCCCAGATCACGTTATGAAGTGTGTGAACCAGTGCATTAAAAACTGTGTTAGCACCAACCAGGTTTATTGGGGTAGCTACATTCAAGACACACATGGCATACCTTTAAATAGCACTGTTAAAATAGCAAATAAAATGTCAATGTCTGTCAGGTCTCTGGTTTTTATAAATTGTTTAGACTGGAGACATTGGGGTTTGGACATTGTTCTTTTCATATGATGTAAAAAGAAGAGACCATAGAAAGAGAAGAACAATAAAGCATAGCTCATGTTTGAAGTTCTTTCATGGAAAAACATACTTCGGTTCATTACCCATCCAATCAACAATTTCCTCCCAATCCTTCCGTCTGTGTTGACTTTCACCCCCTCCTCTCTCTGGGTGGTATTCTGAACTTACACACACTACTCAGGAACTCTAGTTCCTAAGTCACTTCAAAAGAGAATGCTGGGAGAGCATCACAGATCTCTCTCTCTTTCTCCCTCCCCCCTCTCTCTCTTTCTCTCTCACACACACACATACACACAGCACACACACACCACACTCACACACACACACACACGCCCCACATCGTATTTTTAATATGGACCACAATTTTGCTCACCATGACTATGGTCTTACAAATACACTATTGTGCTCTGACTACAGAGCATTCCAGAGAGGAGTAAGACTCTTCAAGCAGGACAGCAACCACCTCCTTACAGAGGAGTTCTGCTCACACCTTAGTGACCATCTCCTCCCCCTCCTCCCTCCATCTCTTCCCTTTATTAACACACTACACCCTCCACCTCCCCCAAAACAACAACATCTCTGTTTCAGTGTCTTCTCTGGATTTCCCACACTTAATGCAACCCAGACCTCACCTTCAGCTCTCCTGAGGCCACTTTGGAAGCCAGCTCAATGACACAGCCAACAGCCATGCGTGCAGCACCGGACGAGTGCAGCTCGTTCCAAATGGTGTCACTGTCCACCTGAGCAAACAGTCAGCAGGGGCCAAAGAAGGAGAGAAAAGGAAAAGAGAAGAGAAGGGTGAGAAGAGGGTGGGGTGGGAGGAGGGGACGAGAAAGCAAATCCGTGAGGAAGGGCTGGCAGACTAACAGCTAAGTGCAATAACATTAGTCTGCAGTCCTGGCCCACTGAAAAGACCTTCTGGACACGGCTTTGCATACACTTTTTCTCTGCGCTGACTTCTCCAATGGAAACACATTCCTGCCATGCCTCACTGCCATTCCCTGTTTAGATTTCTCATTACAAACAGCATTACATAGGCCGGATCTGGCTTAGGTACAGGCCTGCTAGAAACCAGGCCTCAGCAGTAGGTAGAGCGAAAACCAAGAGCACTTAGCTAGACATAAAAATCGGATTTGCAAGTGCTGGAGAGAGAAAACGCCATTCTGACTGCAGGTTTGTCGGGAGCCAAAGACAAGGTTCAGGCAGGTAGCAGTAGCAGGCCTTGAAGAGGAAGGAACAACCGCGGCTCAGCCCCCAGAAAGGAAAGGACTCCTGGACCTCCCACTTAGAGGGGTTTGATTTATAAAGAGGCTTCCTTCTTCTTGGACAGGTACTGTTCTGAGGCTGGTTTCAGTGCACTCTGCTTCTGAGCTAGAGCACAATCTGTGCACTAGGGAACTAGCAGGCCTTTAGAAAATGCCGCTGGTTCTTTTCCACGCACACACTAAGAAGGCATACATTAAGAATATTAAACATACAGTAGTAGTGGTTTCAATTATAACGTGTGTCCCACATCTTACGTATCAGGTATTTCAAATATTGAAATGCCAGTATGAAATGACGGACAACTCTGATACCAGATTTCAGAGTGTGTAAACCATGTGAAGTGTTAATAATTGAGATTAAATGTTTGTGGATGCAAATATCAAGCCTCTTCAAATGGGCCAGAGAGGGTTTCCTGCTCAAAACAAGATTTGGTTTTAAAAAGTTGAGAATAAATCTAAGGCCAAGTAACATGGGAAAATGAAATCGATAAAAACAAGGCATGCTTGCAAAGCCATAACTGGTTTCATGAGTCATGTCACATGTCTATTCATTTCTCATGCAATCATGATTAACTCTAATCATGGCAAGCTGTCAACAATAGAACCAATAACACAATCGCACTGGTGTCTAGGAGTCCTGGGCACACAGGTGCTCGATGGATGCTTGAGTTCTGACACTTATCCAAACAACTGTGACCCCAAGTTGTCAATAAGAAATAAAAAAGCATGAGAGCTATGTAACCATGCAGACAAACACAAATAGACACACAGAAAACATGCATTCAGACATGAGAGCTATATAACCATGCAGAAAAACACAGACAGACACACAGAAAATACACATCCAGACATGAGAACTATATAACCATGCAGACAAACACAAATAGACACACAGAAAACAAATCTAAACAGAGTGGCTGTGAGGAGTGAAGTTTTTCAAGCCCATCTGCTAGGGGAGACCTCGTAGCTTTGTTATTAAACCTGGGCTACCCTGAGCCAATGATTAAATTCTCTGTGCCCTGATTTGCTTATCCATGAAACCATCTTGAGTATCATCAGAGGTTAACAGCACGAACTGTTCTTCCAGAGGCCCTGATCTAGGTTCAGTAACCACATGGCACATCTTCATGCAAACAAAAAAATAATGTAGAATACTGTGTGTGTGGTTGTTCAGAGGCTGAATAAGGAGGTGAGAAGCAAAGCCCTGGCAAACGCTTCATGAACTGCTGTTGATTGGTGCCATTTAGCACAGAACCAGCTTTTTACATCCCTAAACACCTACTGTGACCATAGTAGAGTCTAAATGCATGGGAGCTTGACCTGAGAAGTTAAAGGCTTATCGCTGGCTGAATCCACAGTAGCCAGACTTGACTGAATAACCACATAGATTCTAAGCACATTGATGGGTCAATTTGGAACAATCAGGCATCACTCATTTCTATAAATTCTTAAGGCAGTTAGAAATTTCCTTCTAAAAATGTTAAATACTCCATCGGGTTAGAAGTATTAGCTGTTGCTGGGCGGTGGTGGCAGCACATGTATTTAATCCCAGCACTCGGGAGGCCGAGGCAGGCAATCTCTGTGAGTTCAAGGCCAGCCTGGTCAACAGAATGTGTTCCAGGACAGGCAGAGATACATAGAGAAACCCTTTCATGAAAGAAAAAAAAAGTGGGGGGTCAAGGAGAAAAAGAAATATTACCTGTTATTTCAACTGAGGACACGGTTGGATTAATCACAAGACTAAAGGGCTTTGGTTACCACAGATACTTTTGTGTGAAGTCCCCCTGCGTGTTCACATACCTGCTTTCTGGATGTATTTTGTGTTGATAAACAGTCTCTGCCTGTACAATTAGTAGTAGTGCATAAAACAGTAATGGTGACAGTGTGATTTTGATGTGGCTAACATCTGTCTAATATCCAATATGAGTTGTTATTTGGGATTTTTTGTAGTAAAGATATAGTTATTTTTCTCAAAGCCTGGTTAATGGATTCTTGAGATTCTATGGCTTATATCCAAAGTTTTGCTAATCTCCAAACACATCCTCTTTTAGGCATCCATGGGATTTCTCACATGTTCATTTATTCATACGTAACTATGCAGGATGCTTATGTAAGAACTGCTCGAATGTCTGTGTTATGTACAGTTTATAATTAGGTGGTAAAAATGAGCAAGGTTTTCAGAGATCATCCCATCACTGGTGCCTAGATTTATGAGTAGGTTTCTTTCCCTCGGTGACTCAGCTGTGACAACATGTCACAGGCAGGGTAATTTGCACAGCACAAGTTCATTGGACACAGTTAGCTTTGGCCTGCAGATGACTTTCTGTTCTCACACAGCTTTCCCTTGTTCTCAGGGTCTAATGCTTAGAAGGCCACTTGTCCTATTAGATGAGGAACCCATTTTTTTAATTTCATTTACTATTAATTATTTTCTAAATGCTTATTAATCCCTATCATGGGTTTTGGATTCACTGTAATAGTTTTGGAAGAGTTTTAGGGATATCAAGGCTCTATCCCCAAAAGTTTGTTCACCAGTCCATTTACAAACAAACTCCCAAGACGCTTTGATTCCAAATGGCATTTCAGGATCAACTTAGCTACAAAACACGCCTTACCTGTATTTCCTCATCTTACAAGATCTCCCACAGAATAGTTAGATACTCTGATGGCCATATTAACCAGTTAGCAAGATCTGGAAGGGACTGTTAGCACATGCCAGACAGATCCAGGGAGGTTCAAGGGAAAAGACTCTGCACTCACGTTTGATGCTTTTACATTGAGTAGACTGTAGAGTGAGGTCAACTGCTTCAACCTCCCACGTGTGATCTTATTATTATCAGCGTTAATTTTGCATCGTGTGTCATGTCACGCTCAGCAAGGGTTCTACCACTAAGAGACATCCTCAACCTTTATCTCATTTTCAAGGACAGAAAATGACTTGGCTAGATCCCAGGGGAAAATATTTATCCTGGGTACTGAACGAAGTCTCTGAAGGCTATTTTTCTATTACTGATTTTATCGAGCTATACATTTTTCTCTGCTTCCCTCCCTTCCTCTCTGCTCCCCTTCAACCCTTTCCCATGGTCCCCATGCTCCCAATTTACTCAGGAGATCTTTTTTTTTTCTACTTCTCATGTAGATAAGATCCATGTATGTCTCTCTTAGGGTCCTCATTGTTGTCTAAGTTCTCTGGGATTGTGATTTATAGGCTGGTTTCCTTTGCTTTATGTTTAAAAACCACTTATGTGTGAGTATATGTGATAATTGTCTTTCTGAGTCTGGGTTACCTCACTCAAAATGATGTTATTCTACATCCATCTATTTGCCTGCAAATTTCAAGACATCATCATTATTATTATTTTTGCTGTGTAGTACTCCATTGTGTAAATGTACCACATGTTCTTTATCCATTCTTTGGTCAAGGGGCATTTAGGTTGTTTCCAGGTTCTGGCTATGACAAACAATGCTGCTATGAACATAGTTGAGCACATGTCCTTGTGCCAAATCGTTCAAGTGTCCTTCCCACTTTCTCTTCTATGAGCTTCAGTGTGGCTGGCTTTATGTTGAGGTCTTTGATCCATTTGGACTTGAGTTTTCCATATCTAAAGACTATTCTATGTACAAAGACAAGGGGGTATAATTGTATAGTATGGCTAACAGGACAATAACCAAATTACCATCCTCCCAATTCATCTGTCGCATTTACCAATTTCTTTTTATGTCATTTTAATTAACAGTGTTCTTTCACCTCTGACATATTTTCTTCAGTCAGCTCACTCTGTAGACCAGGCTGAGATCCATCTGCCTGCCTCTGCCTTCCACATACTGGGATTAAAGGTGTGCGTCACCATCACCCAGCAGCTCAGCCTTTGTCGCATGGCTTTCGACAGGGTAATTTATCACAGCAATAGGAAAAACACAGATTGCTGAGAAAGGCCGGTACTTTGCTTTTGGTGAGGAGCCTTTGACCTTGCTGCAGGAGAAAGGCCTAGGAGGCAGAGACACAATGACAATATCCACCCTGGAGAGGAGAGATGTCTGCTTAGTGAGGTAGAAAGGAAGAAGTTTGTAAGGCAAGGGCTGAGCAGGCCACAATAATGTCCCTCGTGTTATAGTGAAAGAAATGCCTAAGAAAAACCTAAAATGGGCAAAATAGTTACTGTTTCTAAAAAGCCAGGATGAAGGAGAGAGTGCGGGCATCAGTCCTCTTCTGAACAATATGTCTCAGAGTACCAGGCATGCACATAGTACATAAACATATATGAAGGCAAAATATCCAAAAGTACCCATGTATATGATACATTATATATTATGAATATAATAAAATGAGCCACTATACCTCTAAATATAATACGTACATTCATGCATGCATGCATACATAATGTTACATTCATGCGTGCACACCTAAACAAGAAATCCAACAACTCCCAAATGCTATTGCCATCTGGAAGGATAATATGTCCCGATCTTTGTCT